CACATACACCATTGGATAGAATGGCTCCTTGCCCACCACTGGCATGTAAGTAAAGGAGGCCAGGAGTATGCTCGCTCCGATCCACACGAGACGCATGGACTTCTCTACCACACCCTGCATGGAGTACATGATCACAGGCCAAAGTCCTATGCATATGAGACCCACAGAGAGAAATGGTCTGACAAAGAAGGCCATCACCTGAAAATATATAAGGAAGCTGTAATGCCAAAACCAATATAAGGACTTAAAACTATTACATTATTTTCTTTGCAAAATTACATATTGTGCAAAGACATTTACTGATTTAACAGAAAACATTCACACACACATTATATATATATATATATATATATATATATATATATATATATATATATATATATATATATATATATATATATATATATATATATATATATATATATATATATATATATATATATATATATATATATATATCTATCTATCTATCTATCTATCTATATATATATATAAATATATATATATATATATATATATATATATATATATATATATATATATATATATATATATATATATATATATATATATATATATATAAATATATATTATATATAATATATATATATATATATATATATATATATATATATATATATATATATATATATATATATATATATATATATATATATATATATATATATATATATAATGTACACAAATATATATACATATATATACACATATATACATATATATACATATATACATATATATACACATATATACATATACATATATATACATATACACATACATACATACACACATGTTAAAACACTTTTTTGTGTTGATATTATTGCAGAAAACATATATATACATATATATATATATATATATATATATATATATATATATATATATATATATATATATATATATATATATATATATACATGTACATATACATACACACACATATATATACATATACATATATATACATATACACATACATACATAAACACATGTTAAAACACTTTTTTGTGTTGATATTATGTTTATATATGTGCGTGTGTGCGTGCATGTGTGCGTGTGCGTGCATGCTACACTCAAGGAAAGAAACAAGGGGTACTTAAGTACAAACTTAAACTCACATGCATGATTGCTCTACATAAAGAGCACTCACCAAGATCTCAATTCCAATAATGATAAAGAGGATGCGGATGGCAACTTCCCACACCATGTTGAAAGAGGACACGAGTAGCCACGTAACACGTAAGGGAGCACAGCTCTGGTGGACCAGAGCCCATAAGCCAATAGGGGTCATGAGGTACAGGTAGTGTTGCCATGGATTTTGCTGTCCTGAAAAAAAGAACATGGCTTCATTTTCCAGTAAAAATCATCAAGGAAGTTCTCAGATCTTTCTTATGTACTAAAAGAAGGTTTCTTTCCCAAACTTTAGAAAAACCTCAAATGGCTGCAAAGATAGTCTTTTGAAAACAATGAAAAATACACACTTTCAACATAGATTCAAGTTTAAACAGTATATACTGTATATATGCAATCCTTTGTAAATTACCCTAAATTTATTTGTGACTATATCAAACAAATACAATAATAATCCTAGCATCTGATAAGATAATGACCTACAAATCTAGATATTTACCAATGAGTTTAGTGAGGTTTGTTACAGCCCAAACCACTAGGACTAAGCCCATCAAAACAGATGACCGCCACACTCTCCTTCCTTCTATTGTGCCTCCAGCCATCCGTAAAACTGCGCTGTGGTCCTGTTTTTGTACAAAAGAATTTTCTAAATTGAAGTACTTTAAATTAATCACTTTTATCATGATGTTATACAACATTGTGCACCCACAGCAGAACAACATGTGGCAATCATGTATATATATATATATATATATATATATATATATATATATATATATATATATATATATATATATATATATATATATATATATATATATATATATATATATATATATATATATATATATATATATATATATATATATATATATATATATATATATATATATATATATATATATATATATATATATATATATATATATATATATATATATATATATATATATATATATATATATATATATATATATATATATATATATATATATATATATATATATATATATATATATATATATATATATATATATATATATATATATATATATATATATATATATATATATATATATATATATATATATATATATATATATATATATATATATATATATATATATATATATATATATATATATATATATATATATATATATATATATATATATATATATATATATATATATATATATATATATATATATATATATATATATATATATATATATATATATATATATATATATATATATATATATATATATATATATATATATATATATATATATATATATATATATATATATATATATATATATATATATATATATATATATATATATATATATATATATATATATATATATATATATATATATATATATATATATATATATATATATATATATATATATATATATATATATATATATATATATATATATATATATATATATATATATATATATATATATATATATATATATATATATATATATATATATATATATATATATATATATATATATATATATATATATATATATATATATATATATATATATATATATATATATATATATATATATATATATATATATATATATATATATATATATATATATATATATATATATATATATATATATATATATATATATATATATATATATATATATATATATATATATATATATATATATATATATATATATATATATATATATATATATATATATATATATATATATATATATATATATATATATATATATATATATATATATATATATATATATATATATATATATATATATATATATATATATATATATATATATATATATATATATATATATATATATATATATATATATATATATATATATATATATATATATATATATATATATATATATATATATATATATATATATATATATATATATATATATATATATATATATATATATATATATATATATATATATATATATATATATATATATATATATATATATATATATATATATATATATATATATATATATATATATATATATATATATATATATATATATATATATATATATATATATATATATATATATATATATATATATATATATATATATATATATATATATATATATATATATATATATATATATATATATATATATATATATATATATATATATATATATATATATATATATATATATATATATATATATATATATATATATATATATATATATATATATATATATATATATATATATATATATATATATATATATATATATATATATATATATATATATATATATATATATATATATATATATATATATATATATATATATATATATATATATATATATATATATATATATATATATATATATATATATATATATATATATATATATATATATATATATATATATATATATATATATATATATATATATATATATATATATATATATATATATATATATATATATATATATATATATATATATATATATATATATATATATATATATATATATATATATATATATATATATATATATATATATATATATATATATATATATATATATATATATATATATATATATATATATATATATATATATATATATATATATATATATATATATATATATATATATATATATATATATATATATATATATATATATATATATATATATATATATATATATATATATATATATATATATATATATATATATATATATATATATATATATATATATATATATATATATATATATATATATATATATATATATATATATATATATATATATATATATATATATATATATATATATATATATATATATATATATATATATATATATATATATATATATATATATATATATATATATATATATATATATATATATATATATATATATATATATATATATATATATATATATATATATATATATATATATATATATATATATATATATATATATATATATATATATATATATATATATATATATATATATATATATATATATATATATATATATATATATATATATATATATATATATATATATATATATATATATATATATATATATATATATATATATATATATATATATATATATATATATATATATATATATATATATATATATATATATATATATATATATATATATATATATATATATATATATATATATATATATATATATATATATATATATATATATATATATATATATATATATATATATATATATATATATATATATATATATATATATATATATATATATATATATATATATATATATATATATATATATATATATATATATATATATATATATATATATATATATATATATATATATATATATATATATATATATATATATATATATATATATATATATTATATCCCAGAATGTCATCAGGGTCACTCTGATTCATCAACTTAAGAAAGGCTAACTATAAAATACGAAGCTGAATTTTCTTTTCGTTTTCAATTATTTCCTGATGTTTGACATCTAATCCTATCTATTTAAGTATAAACAAAAAGCTATCTTTAAAACAACTGAAGAACTTCACTGACTGGTTGATTTCTGCAAGCAAATAAAGTGTTATTCTTTGCAACACAGATTCCTTTCCACTTACAAAATGAAGATACCTTTGTTGTTTCTCAGTATCTTGTGAATATCATCTCTTTACAAATACAGGTATTATTTTATCCCTCTTGCTTATATTGGGAGTTAACCCATTCCCGACAGGCATGCCATGCCATGCCC